AATAAATAAATAAATAAAAATCTACCTGTCTGCACAGCAATATGGTGCCGACTCCCTACCTTCCCTTTGATTCAGTTATGCAAATCCCTGCCCCAACCAGCACGTATTCTAAGTGTCACAAAAGCATACCAACAAACCCAGATGCAGAAAATGTAATACCTGTGGTTATGAAAGGGTCAAACCAATACATCTTTCTTCTCTTACTCTTCTGGGGGTCAGGAGTCCCACAAGCTGTCTCCCCCTCTTCTGCCTCCGGATGTATCCTCTGAAAACAGTACCTCTAGCAACCCCAGACGCAACACATCGTTATTGCGCTAGGCTTCATTCGACTTCACAGATGCCGCTTGTTTGGGTCCATTTTTCCGACTTCACGTGCTAGCACCTCTTTGTGTCTCACGGTCCCATTTGGTGATTCTCATAATGTTTCAAACATTTTAATCTTACTACTCCTAATGTGGCACTGTGGGTTAATGCGCCAGACTGCAAAGCCGTTTGAACTGCAAGGTTGGCGGTTCAAGCTCACCAGCTGCTCTTCAGAAACCCTATACAGGTTTGCTGTGGGTCAGAAACGACTTGACGACACTTAACAACAACACAACTGCACAGTTAGCTTAGACTATGGTCTAGTGTCAACATCACTTCTGTGTGTACTGTTGTTGTATACCACTGAGTCGGTTCTGACTCACAGTGACCCCGTGCACACTGCCCGGTCGTGGGCATCCTCACAACTGTCTAAGCTCACTGCTGCGGTCACTGTGTCAATTCGTCTTGTTGGGGGGGGGGTCTCCCTGTTTCTCACTGATACCCCACTCTACTAACCATGATACCCTTCTCCAGCAACTGGTCCCTCCTGACAATATGTTGTTGTTGTTAAATGCTGTTGAGTCGGTTCCGACTCATAGCGACCCTGTATAGGGTTTTCGAGGAGTGGTTCAAAGTGACCTTGCAGTCCAGCGCATTACCCTGTGGCGCCTGACAATCTGTGCACTGGGAAACCAAAACTTTCACATGACTCACTTCATTGTGATCTTCCATGTATTGTGGTGGTCTGCACCAGAACTAGCAGTATCTCCAGAGCAGGCCTGTGCTGCCTCAGTTTCAGTTGCTGAATGGGCTCTCCCAGCTGGCGATGGATGGACTACCCTGTCAGTTCCCACTCATAAAGAACTTGTATAGGGTTTCCAAGGAGCGGCTAGTGGATTTGAACTGCTGGCCTTTGGGTTAGCAGTTCAGGGCTTATCCTATAGCACCACGCCTGATACTTCCCTAATAGACTCCATAATCATGATTATAGATAGCCCTCGCTTTTGGAAAGTTCACTTCCTGCAGCCTTACTTTTACAAAAGATCTACATTAGTACCTGTTTTTGCTAACTGAAAGAAATCTAAAGAGGATTTTTGTTTTCAGAAACAAAGTTGAAGAGTGAACCAACCGCTCAGCATTCGTTTTGCAGTGAATGGTAAAGAGGCAGCTCACACTCCCAGCTAGGAGAGTGCTGCCCTCAGCGTCTCAGCCTCCAGCCACCAGAGCTTTGACATCTGTGAATATTGTGTGTTTTGTGATTTTAGGATTGAAGTTTTCATGTGCTATTTGGTGGACTCCTTTGTTTTGAGTTTGGGAAGGCTCAAAACTTTTTCCATGGTTAATTGTAATTGCTTCTTTGCTTGATGCCATTTTGACATGTCAAGGTTTCATAGGAATGCTCTGCTTTAGGATAGCAGGGGAAACCTGCATTCTCTGGGTTCTCTGTCGTCATTGCACTGAATGATGGAACCCAGCAAGGGATTGCAATGCTGGGAGAGGACAGAAGGGTCAGAATTGGGAGGAAGTTTGGAGAGAGGAAGTCTGACTCTGCCTCAGAGGATTCAGCCTTGATTGTTGGTCTTCATCCTCTTTTCTTCTTGTGAAGTTAGAGGAGGTCAGGACGACCCACCACCCCTCCCCCCCTTACTTTTAATATGTCATCAGTTTGCAGGACAATGTTGACACATCTGTTCTGTTTTGCTAATTAATTGGTCAAGCACCCATGTTCCCTCATGAGCTTAGACTCTCCACTTCACCCATGAATTAGTCGAGAATCTTAGCGGTTTATTCAGCTCACAGACAGTGAAGTCCCTGGGTGGGTCAAATAGTT